TATATATATATATATATATATATATATATATATATATATATATATATATAAACTGCATGCACTACTCTGCATGCAGCCCCACACGCATCCCTGCATGCACCGCTGCATGCACTGTTATGTTTCCCCCGGGGCCTCTGAGCTGTTTACATGGGGCCGGGCCCCACAGGCATTTGGCCCATTGGCTGTGTCTGCATGACGGCCTGCTGCTGCTGCTGCTGCTGCTGCTGTTGCTGCTGCTGCTGCTGCTGCTGAGGAGAGGCAGCAGGATGGGCTTGCTTGTGCAGATAAGGTGCTGGCTGCTGCTGCTGAAGCATCTGACGTTGCTGCTGCTGCAGCATTTGCTGCTGCTGCTGCAGGAACTGCTGCTGCTGGACCTGCTGGTGCTGCTGCTGCTGCAGCATATGTTGCTGCTGCTGCGCATGCATAGGCTGCGGCATGTGTGGCTGTGCAGGCATAGGGGCTTTATTTTGTTGGTGGGGTTGTGGTTGCTGCGGGTCGTGGTGTGCTGCTGTTGCTGCTGCTGCTGCTGCTGCTGCAGGAAGCAGCGGAGACTTGGGGGGCCCCCCGTATGCTGCTGCAGCAGCAGGCAGGCCGGGGCCCCGGGGCCCCACAGATGTTAAGGAAGATGAAGAAGTGCTGCTGATGGGTGCAGCATAGTTGCTGCTGATGGGTCGTTTTGCTGCTGCAGCAAAGGCTGTTGGTGCTGCAGCAGCAGCACCCGCAGCAGCAGCTGTATCTTCCCCGCTCACCGGAGCTGTACCCCCAGCAGCAGCAGCAGCAGCAGCAGCAGCAGCAGCAGCAGGTGGGGGGGTTGAAGCAGCAGCTGGCCCCGCTGTCTTGCCTGTAGTGATGGCCTCGTGCTGCCGCTGCAGCTCTTGGATACGCAGAGACATAAGAAAAGCATCCTGCATCAGGCTTATTGTCTCTGTCTGCATGCAGAGACAAAAGGAGACAGCAGCAGCAATATGCATGCATGCAGCAGCAGCAGCAGCAGCAGCAGCAGCAGCAGCAGAGTGGCAGCAGCACGAGCAACAACAGTCATAGCAAAGGCAGAAGCAACAGCACTCACAACAGCAACAAATGCAGCAACTGCAGCGCCAGTAGCAGCAGCACCACACCGAGAGCAGCAGCAGCAGCAGCAGCAGCAGCAACAGCACCAATAACAGCAGCAGCACCAATACCAGCAGCAGCAGCAGCAACAGCACCATCACCAATAGCATCAGCAGCAGCAGGAACAGCACCACCCGCACCAGTCCCAGCACCAATACCAGCACCAACCCCAGCAGCAGCAGCAGCAGCAGCAGCAGCAGCAGCAGCAGCAGGAGCAGAAGGAGGAAGAGTAATATATACCTGAACATAAGCTTGAAGCCCCATATAGAGTTGTATTTGTTTTTGTTCTGTTTGTTGGGGCTTAAGAAAATACGGGCTGAGGGGGTGAGGAGACACCTCACCCAGAGGCGCAGATGTTAGGTTGTCGTATAGCCAGTCTGCGGGCTCGTGTATAAGGATTTCATCGTAGGTCTTTATATATATACAAAGAAACAG